ATACTACTACACATGCTTTCAGAAAAGTATACTACGCCGGATTTCAGTTTTCAGCGATGGAATGTACTTCCTGTAATGACAGATAATAATCAGCACCCAAAGCAAATAGCTGCTGGTCCTTACCTTGCCATATGGCGAGACTAGCTACTAAAGTGTCGTGATCTTGTCCCCCAGCTTGTGGCCCCTCATACATGGTGCCTAACATAAAGTAAAACCAGAAAAAAAAATTAGAATCAGAAAAGGAAAATAAAAAGACAAGCCTCCTGAAATGTTTAGCAGTATTGACTAATAATTGTTCTATTAATAAATAATAACATAATAATTCATCAACATGCACTAGACCCTACCATAAGATAAGAGAGTTCTATTAACAAACAAAGACAAATTAGATATTTTGGTGGCACTAGATAAATAAGCAAGTTTCAACCGACTAAAATTTTCAGCCCTGCAGTTCTGCAGGTACCAGAAAAATGCATAAAAGTACGGGTAACAAAAAGACATATTACAAAGAGGAACACACTAAAATGTTTGGCAAAAAGAGGCCAAATATATCCACATGAAAAGCAGGATAGAACGCCAAAGCAGAATTTTAATCCTACAGCATCCAAAAATGACACAATCTGATCGTCAACTACAGCAACTAAAAACAGAGAAGATTACACAACTCTTCTTGCCTTTTGGATCGTGCAAGTGCAAGGTGCCAACAATTGGAGAAAGCAGCTGAAATTCAGACATGGGTTAGTGCATTAATTTCATCCCACACAAAAAAAAAAATCAGTAGTAGATTTTAAGCTTGCAACAGCACATCAATGTCAGAAACTGAGAAGCAGCAGCATTCAGTAAGCTAACAGGTTAGTGCATGGACTGGGACCATGCCTATCTCAGGGTTTGTGTTGTCGACTTCAAGTTGGTAATGACGACAAGCCTCCTGAAAATACCTCAGCGCTGCCAAAGAGAACAGAATCACACAATCTTAGAAACGTTGCGATAGAAACATTTTCCCTGAGAGGTAACTCAAGTATCTAAAAATATTACCCAAGTATGAATGACTACAGCTTCACTGTATCAGCCTAACCAGCTTAATTGGACTTCATGTTCAGTCCCAGAAAAATGAGGCCTGACAAAATTCTTCTGATAATTTATCAGGTCTGACTCCCACAGTTCAAACACAGTACTACAACATTTTGAGTATGCTACAAGTGGCATTTTTTACATCAGGACTAAAACACTAGAATAAGATCACAAAAAGTTGTATTTTGTCATTGGCAACAAGAGCTGACCTTATTGCAAACAGAGCAACATATTTCATGTCTGAGTTACAATATCTGATTTAAGTACAAGTTGTAAAGGATGGAGCCAGATATGCACATACTAGCAAATAAAAATGGATGCTCAGAGTATTTACTGATCAATTAGGACTCAGAGTAACAGGAACTAGATTGCCGCTGAACCAAATGAAAATAGTCTCGAGAGCACATACTAGCAAATAATCTGCTCACTAATTAATTGTAATACGGCCATACAGGTGAGCTATAGCACAAATAATACTAGATCCGTACAGCGGCAACCCTAACCCTAGATCCCCAAACACATGTCCATAATCCATCCATGCACAAATCCAACAGGAGTAGGGGCTCACCGCAGTAATGGATGTCCGAGTTGGGAGAGAAGCAGGCGGAGAACACCGCAACGAGGGGAAGCACGGACTCGGGCCCACGGTCAGGCCAAATCAAAGCCACGCGCCTGGGAGCTCGCTCACATGCGCTGGCTGCCCGTGCCCGCCTGGCCGGAGGGGTGGTGCAGCTAGGGCTGGGGGTTGCTACTGAATCCAGCCCGGCGAGGTCAAGGGCACGGCACGCCTGGCTGCCGCCCAACCAAGGGCACGCCTGGTGGTGCAAGAGAGGCACGCAGCATGCTACAGGTAGCCAAGCAGCATCCCAAGCGCCCGAGCGGTGACCTAAGGGGTTAGGGGCGCCATCGCGTCGTCAACTCAGGTGAAGGCAGGGCGCCAGAGGCCGAGGGATGGGATGCACGGGAGGAGACGGGGTGGGGACTGGGGAGGCGAGTAGTGGAGAGGATAAGATTGGGTCGGGGGTTTGGGGTCTTGGCCGACTAGAATAAGGTGTGCGTGGGTTGTGTTTTCTTTTTCTTTTTTTTTCCTTTTTTCATCTTTCCCTTCTTTTCCTCTATTCTTTTTTTCATTCTTTTGTTTTTTTCTCGTACTAACTTCAAATGGGATGGTTTTTTTTCTAAAAATCATGCTTCAGCATTTAAGTTTGATCAAAATTGGATGTGACGATATTTTACACATTTTAAAAATTGAAATTTGAAATTTGACAAGTTCAAACTAAATTTTAAAAACCTAAATGATTTCAGATGTAAAAGTGATGAATACAAAAATTGTTCAACTCATCAAGATCTAGAACTTTTATTTTGGTCATCTTGTCATTAGACAAAATTTGAACCTTTCAAATTTGAAATTTTAAAAAACAACAAGTTCGAACCAAAATTTGAGACCCAAAATGATTTCAACGTAAAAAGTGATGAATACCAAAGTTGTTCAACTCATTAATATCTACAACTTTTATTTTAGTCATCTTGTCATTTGACAAAATTTGAACCTTTCAAATTTGAAATTTTGAAAAACGACAAGTTCGAACCAAAATTTGAGATGCAAATTGATTTCAACATAAAAAGTGATGAATAACAAAGTTGTTCAACTCATTAATATCTACAACTTTTATTTTAGTCATCTTGTCATTTGACAAAAATTGAACCTTTCAAATTTAAAATTTTGAAAAACGACAAGTTCGAACCAAAATTTGAGACCCAAATTGATTTCAACATAAAAAGTGATGAATACCAAAGTTGTTCGACTCATGAATATATACAACTTTTATTTTGGTCATTTCTTTATTTGATAAATTCCTAGCACGCATTGTTCATTAATCTTACACATGTCTCATATACTTTATAAATTTTTATGAGAGATGTGTCACATTTGTGAACAATGTCATTACCACTTTGTCATATGAAGAAATGACCAATACAAAAGTTGTAGATCTTGATGAGTTATTCAACTTTGGTATTTGTCACTTTTTCAGCTGAAATAATTTGGGGTACCAAAATCTTGTCTGAAGTTGTATTTTTTTAAAATTCAAAATTTAAATTGCTCAAACTTTTCATATGTATATATTGACAAAACCAACAAAATAAATTGATAGAGAATGATTTTAAAAAAAAATTAGGAAAAAAATCATCAGATTTGGAGTTAGTATGAGGAAGAAAAACTAGTTAAAAAGTTGACCCACAGATTAAAAAAAGAAATCACGTTGTTCACTATGATCATGTAAAGATCATTTATGAACAGTGTTATTTCTCTTTTTAATCTGTGGGTAAACTTTGTAACTAGTTGTTCTCCTTCGTACTAACTCCAAATATGATGGTTTTTTTTCCTAAAAATTTCTAAAATCTTGCTTCAGCATTTAAGTTTGATCAAACTTGGACGTGACAATGTTTTACACATCTAAAATTTTGAAATTTAAAATTTGACAAGTTCAAACCAAATTTTCAAACCCTAAATAATTTCAGATGTAAAAGTGATGAATACAAAAGTTGTTCAACTCATCAAGATATACAACTTTTATTTTGGTTATCTTGTCATTTGACTAAATTTGAACCTTTCAAATTTAAAATTTTAAAAAATGACAAGTTCAAACCAAAATTTGAAACCTAAAATGATTTCAACATAAAAAGTGATGAATACCAAAGTTGTTCAACTCATTAATATCTACAACTTTTATTTTAGTCATCTTGTCATTTGATAAAATTTGAACCAACAACAAATGGGCACTGCAGGGCGGCTGATGATTGAGCCGCCCCTACAGATTAGCCCCAATTGTAGGGGCGGCAGTTACCAGCCGCCCCTACAGTGCCATCTGTAGGGGCGGCTGGGCTGTTGGGGCCCGAGGACGTCCACTGTAGGGGTGCCCCCAACCCCAGCCGCCCCTACAGTAAAAATGCCCCCGTTTCTACTGTAGGAATCTGGCGTAGAGAGAGATTGAAGTTTAGAGAGACTCTTAGAGTTGCTTAAGCATATCCGTGGAACTCTTTACATGGCTCTTTATCACAAAATCTAGAAAACAAATAAAAAAAACAGGCTCCAATAGACTCTCTTAACAACTCTCCATCTCTTCCGCTCTCTGAAACCACCTTTCCGCTCTCTACTAATGGAGAGGCTATATCTCTCTAAAATCAAGATATAGTAGTTTTCTAATGATTTTTTCATATAAAGGAGATTATGACAAACCATTGAAGTATAAAAAATGAAACTTACCGTCTTTTGGAGATATGAGAGATATAGGGAGAATAACTATGAGATGGTTTTCTAAATAGAGATACAGAGATTGGATTTTAGAGGGGCTCTTGGAGTTGAGTTATTACCTTTAATGATTTTTTTTTATTTTTAAGAAAATGTTGCAAGTACTAACATAAAATTTCAGCTAAAAATTGCATAATGGTACCTTTAAGATTATGAATATTTCAAACAATTTGAAACACTACAAGTATCTTTAGAATTGCATAGTGATAGCTTTAACATAAATTTTCAGTTAAAATTTGCATAGTACAGTAACAGAGTCGGTAGAAGCCTCCAAACTGCAGCTCCTCCCCAGAGCCGTTTTTTCTAGTCTCTAGACTACAATAGTCTACCGCACAGTGCGCAACAGTAAATAGGAGCAGGAGTCTGAGCGCGTAGGAGCTCAAACAAACGGGGCCTGAATTATCTGTATCAACTCCGTGCGCGTCGCGAACCCTGTACCGATCGAACTCGTAGTTCGTTCCCGAACTCCGTGTACAAAAGTAGGAAACCCGCCGCAGCGGCCCTGCGGCACCGAACCACCTCACCCACTATCCCGCTCCCACGAGGCGCGGAAGAAACGACTCGATCGCAGCCTCCGACGCAAGAAACGAGGCACGCGGAAGTGGGCGATCGACAGCCGATGGCGGTGCCGGACGAGGCGGCGGTCGGCGACGGCCGGCCGGTGGCGATGAAGAAGTCGGCGTGGACCAAGGAGGAGGACGCCGTACACGGAGCAGTCCGCGGTGCGCACGCTCATTAATCTGGCGCGCCATCAGCAAGGCAATCGCCGGGCGCGCAACCCCAAATGTCGGTGCCGCCTCCGCTGGTGCCCAAACAAGGAGCCAGAATTATGTTCGGGGCCACCGTCGTGAATTATACCTAGGGAGACCAGCCAAAAGAGTCAACATATAAAAACTAAGTGCAACTGAACTCATTAGGTTCCTTGTGACAAGCGAAGTTGTGTTTTGTATGATCTAAAAGATATTAATAGGTATATATGACAAGAATTTTATATAATCTCCTTCTTAATATAAATAAAAACTATTAAATCATACTACTAATTTTTTTTTTGTTCATCGCGGGCTTCCTCCAGGGCCGCACCGACAATGCCATCAAGAACCGCTGGTACTCCGTCCTCAGCAAGGTGTACCAGCAGCAGCAGCGGGCGGCTGCACCCATCCGCCGCCTCCCCGACGGGACGTTGGTTCTGTTTCCTTTGACGCCGGGGGATGTCAAGGCGTTCGGCATGGACATCATCCCAGTGCTCCGCCACCCGCCGCCCGGGGTTGATCTGAGCGGCGAGTGCCTGAACCTGTTTCCGCTGGTGGCGGGGGATCTCGTCAGGGGCAATAATGCGAGCGAGGCTGCGGTGATGGATGTGGATTGCAGCACCGACGAATCGCTCGTCGAGCTGAAGCTCTGGCCGTCCACGAACCACGAGGGCGGCGTTCCAGGCGACGAATCGCTCGCCGAGCTGAGGCTCTGGCCGTCCACGAACCACGAGGGCGGCGTTCAGGCAGTTCGGGCGCCCTAGACTGTCTTGTATCTGCCTGAATTCTTCATGTCCTGTGGTTGTGGTCCCTTGGTTGTGTTTATTCTGAACTTCTGATTTTGTAACAAATTTCCATGACCGACTGAACTTGCGATGGAGGATAGAGGTTAGTAATACAGAAGTTAGGAAGCAGGGAAAGTTTCGATGATGTTCTTGCATTTTTTGTTGTCTTCCAAGTTTCAATTCACAAGACTGCATTAGCATTAGAGGAGGAATTGTACTGATGATTCGGTGATGTACCGGAGACTGAAATTGAAGTGCAGAGGGCCGCTTTATGCGCCATGTTTCTATTGAACTCGCTGTTTCTGTAGAACTCGGCATGTCGTCTTGTTGATCTGCCTGGGTTCCAGATTCTGTGATTATTGTTGCTGCGCGTATATAACATATACGTCGTAAAATCAAGAGTGAGTTACCAGGACTTTGATGGAGAGGTCATATGTTTATTTTACCAACCAACAAGGATGACGACCACACACACACACCACCACACTGATATCATGTTTGGCAAATTTGTCCAAGATCCATACAGGAAGTGGAGTTTGTAGGAAAGGAGGAAGATAACGTACAAGATAACGCGCGTTTGATAAGAACAATGGTGTGATTAATCACAGATGGGCTGATAGTTTCAATGAGTGAGTTGATAAGTGGGCCTTGATTGAGCTGAGTGCTAGCAATAAAAGATTTACTTGGACAAATAACCAAGATATTTCAGTTTTAGCTAAAATAGATAGAATTTTTGTTACAACAGCTTGGTAAGCTGCTTTTCCCTTAGTCAGTGTAAAAGCTTTAGAAAGGTTACCTAGTGATCATAATCCTCTAGTTATCAATTCAGGGGAGAATGTTAGCTTCGCAAAAAAAAAAAAAAGAGTTAGGTTTGAAAAATGGTGGCTGGAAAAGGATACTTTTAGGGATGTGGTTGTGAAAGCTTGGAACACTCCTTGTAGGTCAGTTAGTAGTATAGACAGATGGCAGTTTAAAATCAGAACCCTTATGCGAGTGGTGAGGGGTTGGGCAGCTAATGAGATTGCTTCCTTAAATAAATCCAAAACAATTCTCATGGAGAAGTTTAGTAGGCTAGAAAGTTTATCTGAAACTAGAGAGCTTGATTTAGATGAACTTAGTGAACTGAGATCAGTAGAAAAAAAATTAGAACATATCTGGAAATTAGAAGAGATTAAGACAAGACAGAGGTCTAGGGATAGAAATCTTCTGAAAGGTGATAGGAATACTGCCTATTTTTAGGCAATAGCAAATCAAAGAAGTAGGAAGAAAAGGATAGAGTGCCTTGAGGGTCCCACTGGTCTAGTGTATGATAAAAAAGGTATGATGCAAATAGCTGTAGACTTCTATAAGAAGTTGTTTGCTAAAGAAGATGATACTAAGGTTAAATTAGGTGCTAACTTTTGGGATGAACAGGATAGTGTTACACCCGAAGAGAATAGCTCTTTAATAGCCCCTTTTTCAGAATCTGAGATAAAAGAAGCCATTTTTAGTTCTTATGCTGAAGGAGACCCTGGTCCTGATGGCCTTCCTTTCTTGTTTTTCTAAAAATTTTGGGACCTAATGAAAAAAGATTTAGTAGCTCTCTTTGAAGACTTTCACAAAGGAAAATTAGATCTATATATGTTAAATTGTGCTTTAGTTACTTTAATCCCAAAAGTTGGTGAGGCTACCAATATGAAACAGTTTAGACCGATCAACCTTCTAAATTGTAGTTTTAAATTTTTTTCCAAAATTCTTACTCTTAGACTGAGTCCTATAGTTCAAAGGATTGTAGCTCCAACACAAACTGCTTTCATCAAAGGTAGATACATTCTGGAAAGCGTAGTAGTCGCGCATGAACTTGTTCATAGTGTTAACAAGTCTGGGGAACAAGTAATTGTTCTCAAACTTGATTATGAAAAAGCATACGATAGGGTAAATTGGACCTTTCTTTTTATATGCTTCAAGCTAGGAAGTTTAACCCAATGGTGATTGATTGGATTAGGAAAATAATTATAGGAGGTTCTATATGAATTATGCTTAATGGGGAGGATAGCTCATATTTCAGAACTAGTAAAGGTCTTAGGCAAGGAGATCCTCTATCTCCTTTCCTGTTTAACCTGGTGGGTGACGGTCTTTCTAAAATGTTAATGAAAACTTTAAATGCTGGTCTAGTGCAAGGTCTACTTGAAGATTTCAGACCTGGAGGCATAGTGTCACTACAATATGCAGATGACACTATCCTCTTCGCTAAAGCAGAGGAATCTGTTTTAAAAAATCTCAAATGCGTTTTGATGTGGTATGAGCAAGTGTCGGGTATGAGAATAAATTCTCAAAAGTGAATTAGTTCCCTTGAATTTAGATCAAAATGAAGCACATAGATTAGCTCATATTTTTCCTGCCCTTTAGGATCTTTCCATATCAATTATCTAGGAGTACCTGTACATTATGAGAATTTGACTAGGGATGACATACAACCTTTGGTAGATAAGATTTTGAAAAAAGTTGGAGGTTGGAGAGGGAGGCTTCTCTCTTTAGCTGCTAGAGCTATGTTACTTAAATCTTGTCTGGCAAGTATACCAGTTTACCTTTTATCCTTTATTAAGTTTCCCAAGTGGGCTATCAAAATCCTTAACACACATATGAGCAATTACCTTTGAATGACTCAGTAGAAAATCATAAATATCATTTAGCTAACTGGGATTTAGTTTCTATGTGCAAAGAATATGGAGGTTTGGGTCTTCCAAATCTTAGAGACCTCAACATTAGTTTGCTGGCTTCTTGGTTGAAAAGATATAAGATAGATAAGGATAAACTCTAGAAAGAGCTTGTAGATTATAAACCTTAGAAGAGTTATGGGATGGTGTAAACTTGAAATGTACTTTTAGAAGAAACTTTTCTAGTGAGTTGTATCAAACTTGGTTAGATATAGTAGAACTTGTGGCAACTGTTCAGTTTACAAATGAAGAGGATGAGATGATTTGGCATTTTAACTCCTCTGGAGTCTACTCTTCTCAGCCCCTTTATAAAGTTATCAATTTTAGAGGCATCAAATCTGTGCATGCTTCAGCTGTTTGGAGCCTCAAAATACCTCCCCGAGTTCATTTCTTTTTATGGCTAGTGATTAATAATGGGGCTTTAACTAGAGACAATCTAGCAAAAAGAAGGAAGGTGGATGATGAAAACTGTCTTTTTCTGTTTAGAGAAAGAAACTATTCAACATGTTTTCTTTGACTGTGTAGTAGCTAAACAATGCTGGAAAATCTTATCAGATATCTTAGGTTTACAGGTAGGGGGAGCATGATAGATACAGGCAAGTTTTGGTTTAGTAATAAGAGACACTGTATTCTGAACGTGATCTCATCAGCTACTATTTGGTTTATTTGGAAACTGAGAAATGACTTATGTTTTCAGAGAATTGGCTGGAGAAGCACGGAAATGCTTCTTTTCAGGATTTCTGGACTTTTACTGAACTGGATGGTATTATGTCGTACCGACAAGAAGGATCTACTAATGGAGTACATCAGCAAGATCAAATCTGTAGCAGGCGAGATCCTCTGGCTTCCTTTTGTGACCCAAAGCACCACTTGAAGTTTCACAAGAGTGAAGTTGACGACTTGTTCAGGATGCCCCTGAATCCTGAAGACGCATGGAATGACTCGAAGCTCAGCGAGATGACCTGGTGGAATGCTCTGAACGTTTCGCTAAATCTGGACTGAAGATGAGCTGGTTTAAGCTTTAGTTGTTTTAGCTGGTAGCTGGTAGTGTTATGCTAAAAGTAGCTCAAACTGTTTTCATTCCTGGATGTATCGTCCTGGTGGACACCTTTTGGCTTTAAACTCCGGTACTGTATAAAATTTGCTAGTCTTTCGATATTAATTGAAAGGCTGGGGGCGATATGCCCTTAAACTCTAAAAAAAAAATAACGCGCATTTGAGGAGCGTGCGACCTTGCTGTCCTCGTCCTCGTTCCCGCCTCTGGATTCCACCACCCACGGCCAGCGACTCCCGCCACACCTCCCGCCCTAGCCCCTCGACTCTATCATCCCCTAACCACAGGGTAGCCGACGACCGCCCCGCTGCGACGCCCCGTCGCCAGCCCCACCCAACTGTCATCTCTCACTACCCAAGCAGGCGACGCCCCTGCTGCTTCGCCCTATCGCCGTCTCGACCGCGCTCCACCGCCATGTCACGGTCGCCGCCCCGAAACCTCCTTGTAACGCTGCCGATGAGTAGATCCTCTAACCCAGGAACCCTAATGTCGGCGAGCTCTTGGGCCGCAGGGTCGCACTGTCCACACTCCACGAGACGGGACGTCTAGTAGAGTTTGCGAAAAAAAGAAAGTACTTTTAAAACCACATATGTTTAATCTAAAATAAGTACTACAAAATAATAATGAACTAAATAAATTCCCCATAGCTTAGCTCCAAACTCTTAGGGATAGTTGTCTCCGAATTATTGGAGTCCGTTTTATGCAAATATGGCTCACATTGCAAGCCCGTATCTATCAGAGTATCAGACCACCTAAAAAGGCACTGAAACACTTAAATTTGAGCTTTGTCGGGTAAAGTTGTATTCTTGACGGAGAGGGAGAGATCATGTTCCCATAGCAGGCTTCTTAATCGAAACTGTATTGCATTTAAAAATATTGAAAATAAAAAATTGTATGGAAGCCTGCCAAGAAAATATTTGTCTGATAGTCCTGCGTGTTATCGACTCAAGTGCTAATAATATAAATCGATGTAGTGAATGAGCAGATTCGTCCCAACACGAGAAGATGATTCTTTCCACCGCCGGAGACAATTGCTCTGTTTGCTTAGCTGATAAGTCATGGCTGAAAGTACTGTTGGTTGATTTGTTGTGAGAGAAAAATATTATTTGTTGACTGAAAAAGTACGATTTATAAGCCAAGCGAACAAGACGAATGACCGCGAGATTGAACTAAGCTCACGTTTTTCTGTGCCGTGGTCACCATACTGCGCCATGCGGTAGCCACACCACGGTCCCAAACATGACCTTAATACAGATGCTCTTATTTTTATGGATTTATTTTAAGATTTAACAATGCTATTGCATGTCAATTGCGAGATGTATGTGATGACTTTAGGTCCTTGAGATTTGTCGGCTCATACTTTCTGATGTGTAAAGAAAAGATATAAATCGATGTAACGTTCAGGGTAGTAGCAAATCAACCCCAGCGCATTAGATAAATGCCACCGGCTAATATCTCTCATTTTGCAACATTCCATGATTTTTTAAATAGGAAGAACCGAAGAAAGGATTAAATCCTGTATCATCTTTTATTTATCCCCATACATGAAAACTCAAAACAAGTACTTCTTCTGACTAATATATGGTGAGGGGTTAACGCTAATCAACTCCACCTATACCAGGGGCGTGTACCCTAAAATTTTGGTAAAAATATTAAGCAGATTATGGACATGTTCGCTTGTCTTATGAGCCGTAATGTTTTAGCGAAGGAACAATATTTTTCTCTCACAACAAATCAGCGAACAGTACTTTCAGCCATAGCTTTTCAGCCAAGCGAACAGGGCCAATATGTAGAACACTTAATATCAAATAAAAATAGCAAAATACGAACGGCCGAACATCTGATGCAGATGAGCGCGTCTGGATGCCTCGCGCATGTTGCTGCCCCAGCTCGCGCGTCCGTACCTACCACTACACCGTATCGCTGGTGAACACGCACATCAGTTCCCCGTCTGCCTCGCCCCACCCCCACACGCGTACACTGCTCTCGTCCGCCTCGCCCCGCCCCACACACACACCCTAGCTACGTCCGCCACTCCTTCCCCCTGACCCCCTCCTCTCTCCACGTGGGCGGGACCCAGGAGCCCGAATGAGGACAAGCACGCCCCGTCCACAGGACTCCAGGAGCTCGTGCGCCCCATCTGCCGACCCCCGGCTCACCACGCCCCTTCCCTAGCGTCCAGGCCGTGCCCCCATGACTCTCTGAACATACATCTGGAACACGAAACACTTGCAACATGAAACACTTGAATACAACATAAGTCTCAATCAGATGAAATATTTGGAACATACAATTGCAATATATGTGTGAAACATATGCAACATCCAGATAAACCACTTGCAACTTGCAACGTAAAAACACTTATTGCAATATAAGAATAAAACAACTAAAACATTTCGAACATACTCTTGCAACATATGTGTGAAACATGTGCATCATCCAAATAAAAAACACTTTGCAACATACGTCTGAAACCGATGAAACATTTTGAACAAACACTTGTAACGTACCTCTGATAATATCTGAAATATATATTTGTAACATAAAGGGAGGGAGAGGCCAGGGCCGGTTGATTTCAGCCTCGAAGTGGGAGCCGACGCCGAGAAACTAATATGCTTATCATGACCTTGGGAATGTCTATCTTTGTATGAATGTTGACGAATTGTATCCTTAAATCCGTATACCTAACTATTTTTTCTCTCGTCGTATTATATCATTAATGAATTGCATCGCTTACCCATCTTTAAACTCCTGGATCCGCCGCTGCCTATACAACGCCCTATATGCAACCACGCCGGCAGCCCAATCATCGATCGTCTCTGCGGTTCCACTCACGCCGCAAAGCGCTCCCTCTCCGATGGCTTTCTCGGCTCCCGTCGTCCAAGTCTCGGCCGCCGCCGTCTTAGCCGTCCTCTCGCAACGGCCACCGCGGCCGGGGCGAACAATGCGACTGTGGCCACGAACACCGCAGCGATGGCGGCGCGCCGCGGTGGTGTAAACTCCACCGCGGCGCTGCCAGCGTCGACGGCGGCGTCCAACGGCTCGCTCCAGTACACCTGCTACCTGTGCCACAAGCGCAAGAGCCTGATGATCAAGCGGTGCCCCATCGCAAAGGACGGCTGCCACGTCGCCTGCGTGACGCTGCCGACCCCTTGCACGCGCTCCCCTCCGCCTCCGGTGACCGCCCTCGGCGGCAGTGGCAGGGACGCCGCCGACTGCTACGTCATGAAGGTGCACCCCGACGGCAGCTGGGTCGTCGTCGACATGGTCAGCTGCCGGAAGGCCGCCCCGGCGTGCTACCTCACGTGCAAAGACGGCGATGAGCCTGGCCAGGACGGGGCCGCCGGGACCACCCCGGCAGCGCCGAGGGCCGCGCTGCCATCCCTCCTGGCTGACTTCGAGCGGTGCGGCGACCATGCCACAGCACAGGGCGCCGCCGTCCCAGCCATTTAGCACTAGCAGCAGCCACGACGATGCATGCTGTCAAAATGTCCGGTCGAGACTTTTTTTGTCCCGTGCGTGTGCATGTCCACGTGAGGCCCGCCCAAGTCGTTGGTCACATAGTTTGTGCAGGGAACAATATTCAGAAGAGTGATGCGCGCAGCTCTCGCTAGAAGAACGAAAGACGATAAGCGATGTTGGAGAATCGAATCCGATTTCTTCCTTTAGATAACAAAAACATTTTGCTACAAATAATCCTTTCAGATTTTTATACACACAGTGCTTCAAACAACAACAAAAATGCAGTCTGCAGCACACCAAGACATCCATCTGCTTGTTTTGATTTCGAGGAAATTAGAAAGTACATGAAACAACAAAAAGGGCGATGTGCAGTCATAATTTGATACTAATATATAGTTCTAGTATGAAGCAAGAACGATCAGTAGACGGAACTCTGAAGCGTTTGCGCCGGCTATGTGGCTATAGGTGAAGAAGTCACCTCACTTACCAGGATTCCAGGCTACAAACACCCCAACTTGGCGATTCGGTGGTTTGTTTTCGAGGAAACAGTTTTGCCGACTCGTAAACCGCAATGAGCTTTCAACGACAACCATTGCTTTCCGCATTATCCACGACCACGCCTACTAGCTACAGATGGGGGCTAATAAGATAAGAGCCTGGTACTACGTCTCATGGCCTGAAAAACATTCAGGGCCGTACGTGAAAAGCGTTGCCACGCGGTCCAGAGACCAGAGTCGAGCTGGCAATCCAAACGCAGTCAACCACACACACACAACAGTCTTTAAGAACAGCTTTTGTCCTTTGTAGATTTCCGGCTGGCCTGGTGAAGAACGTCTGCGAATGACGTTGCTAGCTAGCGAGAAGCAATAAGTAGAGTAGCATCACTCCAAAACGTTAACACAGCCAAATTCAGGAGCTCGATTGCTTCTAAAGTGAGAATTAAACTGGTCAAAATTAACTGCAAATTGATAGCGGGCATTCATGCTTCCCCGGAAAAGTCCAGGAACAAGCAAAGTACGCCGCTTCGCCCACGTCTCGCACCAACACGCACCATCTCTCTCTTTGCCCCAGATGCCTCTCTCAGCAGCTTCCGTCCTCCATGCCTTCCTCCTCACCCTTCTCCTCGGCGCCACGGCCTCCGTGCCGCCAGGCGACGGCGACGTGAACCCGTAGATGTCTACCAACGGCACGGGGACGTCGCCCATCGCCGACGACACGGAGAGATACATCTGCTACCTCTGCACGGGCCGCAACCCGTTGCTGATCAGGTACTGCCCCATCTACTGGGACGAGTGCCACCTCGTCTGCTACGACGAGTACGATGCGTACGCCGACACTGCCGCCATTCCCGCAGCGCCCGCGCCCGCGCCGGCGGCGCTGCGGTCGTCGTCGGCGGCGGCCAACCCCAGCGGGGTGCACGACGACGACGAGTGCTACGTCATGAAGCTGTACCGGAACGGTAGCTACGCCATCGTCACCCGCCTCGGCTGCGCCCGGATCGCCACGTGCCTCCTCTCCTGCGGCGGCGGCGACATGGCCGACAGCGACAGGAAAGCCATGGGCACCGCGACGACCGCAGCGCTGGCGCCGACGGCGGCTGCGGTCCAGGGGAGTTTAACGCCGCCCCGACCCGCGGATTTCCAGCGGTGCGGCACGCAGGTCACTGCGACGCCGTCTCTGCGTGGCGCCGTCTTCCAGGCTGGTGGTGCGCGGCGACGGCGCTAGCTCTGTTGGGATGCTCCGATCTACGATGGATGGACGCGTACCGCGCGTGTGCGATGCTGCATCTGCAAATACGGCCATGCGCGAGTGCGTGTCAGGTCGCGTGCGTAGGTTGCGCCGGTAGCGCTTTTGCGTCCAAACCAAGCTTGTGTTACCTCTCCTAAAAGTTTTAAGAGCTAAAATCTAAATAAAATTTACCTAAAAAACCAAATACCTCCTCCTAAAAATTTCTAAAATTTTTAGGAGCTCCACCCCATCCTAAAAGCTCCTAAAGTCCATCCTGGACCCCCACTACCCTCCTTTATTGCCCTACCCCCCTCTCTCACCCTCCCTCCCACCCGCGCCTCTCTCTTGCGGCCCCTACCCTCCACCGACGGATCCCCGGCGCTGCCACCCACCGGGATCTCCTCTCCCGCGTGGCGCCCGCCGGATCCGTCTCCCACGCCCCGCCCGCCCACGCCTCCGGCCTCACCTCGCTGGATTTGTTGGCCCCGAACCGGTCCGCCGCTCCTTCGCGCTGGACCTGGAGATGGCGGCGGCACTGCTCGCCTCCATGTACCCTCCGTCTTCCCCGCCGCCATGGGCCCGAGTCGGCGCCGCCCCTCTGACCTCCTCCCGCCGTTCTCGTCCTCGACCCTCGCGCCGCCGGATCCGCCGGCCCCCGCCGCCACTCGTGCTCGGTCGCCCGTGCTCCCCGACGGGCAGGGGGAAGGCCGCGACCAAGACAAGGCGGTGGCGCGTGGTGGAGCTGCTCACGCTCCCGTCCGTCGAGATGGCCACCTCCGCGGAGACGGCGAGGAGGAGGAGAGCGAGGGCCACGACGAGAGCAGAGAAGGAGCAGGGGTATGGAGGAGCGCTGCATGATCTTTTTGCTAGTGCATTTATTGCTTTTAGTCAGTTTTAGAGGTAAAACCAAACACTCTTTTAGGAGGTTTTGGCAGCCTCCTAAAAGCTCATAAAACTTTTAGCTCCTAAAAGTTTTAGGAGCTTGGAACCAAACGGGGCCTTAGAAGATGTGATAAAGCTGAGAGATTTCGTCCAACCGGTACTGCTGGCTTTCCACGTCCGGACAGATGCGCCAGCAATTCACTTCAAGTGCCATTTCGTGTGTCCATACGGGGTCCGCAACGCCTGGAGGCACCGTTCGATAGTTGCTTCAAGCTGCCGTTGGACCACTGCTGCAGGGGTATGGTCTACCCGTCGCCACTAGCTGCCATAGAGGTAAGAAATATCAAATCTGATCCACACCGACCACATGGAGATTCACTGTACTCGTCTGATCTACTTTTAAAACATCTAAATACAACACTTGCAATATAAAAAAATAAAACACTTGAAACATACTTCTGAAACACTTACAAAAATACATGAAAAATAGTTGAAAACCATTGCAAGCAGATACAATATCTAGATAGAACACTTGTAACATATATGTGAAACGTATGCAACATCCAAATAAACACACTTATAACAATACGTGCGAAAAACATAGATGAAACATTGGGAGCAGACCTTTGCAAACATACGTGTTGCAACATATGCAACATCCCGATCTACTTTTGCATATTCATCTGAAACGCTTATAACATACACTACACCACAACCCAAAAAAAGAGTCGGAGATGGGTCGCTAAAAGTACCAAAATATCAATGGACGATCGGTCGCTAAATTTTTGTAACAGATAATGGGTCGCTATTTCTCGTTTCTCCAACCGAATATCGATCACTATTTTTATTTTACTTTATCATTGGAGGATCGGTCGCTAAAACCTAATATTTGAATCCAACCATCCGTCGCTATATATATATATATATATATATATATATATTGGACTTGCGTGCGGTCACTAGCCTATTTCTCGCCTAAAAAGCCCACCAGTCAGAGACTCTAAAAAAAGGGGAATTTCTTGTGTGCCATTAAAAAAGATCGTAATGCCCTGTGTGTCTCTGAAAAAGTTCAATGGTCTTCAGCGCCACTGCTCCAACCTTTTTGTGCCATACATGCCACTGCCGTCAGTTTGGGCTCTAACGCCATCAAATTGCAGGTGTGAAAAGACGAAAATATCCTTGAGTCTAAATATGTCATTAATTTTTTTGAGCATCTTAACGACTTCAAATGAAAAAACTCAAAACTAGAAAGTTGTAGATCTCGTCGAGATCTATAATTTTCATATAAAAATTATCTTCATTTAATTCCGCAAAAAAAGATATGATTTTTCTAAGATATATTAATCATATCAAATCATTTTTTTTTGCGAAATTAAATGGAGATAATTTTATATGAAAATTATAGATCTCGACGAGATCTACAACTTTCTAGTTTTGAGTTTTTTCATTTGAAGTCGTTAAGATGCTAAAAATATTAATGACATATTTAAACTTAAGGGTGTTTTTGTCTTTTCACACCTGCAGTTTGACGACGTCAGAGCCCAAACTGACGGCAGTGGTTTGGAGGGCAAAAAAAAAAAAAGTTAGAGCAGTGGCGTCGAAGACCGCTGAACTTTTTCGAGGCACACAGGTATTACGGGGTTTTTTTTTTTGCACACGGGGAATTCGCCGAAAAAAAAAAACTTTGCCAACCCCAAATTTTCCCTCTCACGCCGCCACAACCCCGCGCCTCACACCTCCGGCGCGGCGCTCCCTGCTCCTCACGTCCGCCGGTGGCAGCGGGCGCGACTGCCCCACCCAGCGCCGCCCGCGTTTCGCTCCTGCCGAGGTCCGGACGCCGCTGCCGCGCGACACGACGGCCGCCGCCCCGTTCCCCGTCCAGCGTCGGCTCTCTGCCCGCACCGGTGCCGTCTCTCCCTCTTCTCGCCTCTCCTCTTCTCTGCATGGATCTAGCAATTTCCGTCCAGGAATTGACGGTTTCCCCTTCCTTTTCCCTATGTCCTCAGCGCAAGCGGTGATGGCTCCCATGTCGGCCCTTCAGCACCGCGATGCAGGGATCCAAGGCGGGGTGCTGCACGGCGGCAAAGCAGGGGCCTGACGCGTGGTGCTCAGCGCCGGCTACGAAGGGGTCTGAGGGCGGCCGCGCCGGCCTGTGTGCCAGCGCGCTAGGGTTTGAGGTCGGCCTGCGCGCCGGCGATGGAGGGGTCCGAGGCGGCGTGCACCTGGGCGCCGGGGTGCTGAGCATCAGCGATGTATCTGTCTTCTGTGTTCTGTATGCGCTTTCTGCCAGCATCGATATGCAGGAGGATCAAAGGTACACTAGCACCAACTGTCGTAGTTTGTTTTCAATTGGACCTATTGAATATTATCCCAGGAGAGAC